CCTCAGCGTACGGGTGCTGGGAGGTGAGCTGCAGGCAGAGAGAGCGCCGGCAGTGAGACGAGACAAAGAGGACAGACAGGACAGAAGAGGACAAACAGGACAGAAGAGGACAAACAGGACAGAAGAGGACAGAAGAGGACAAAGAGGACAGAAGAGGACAGAAGAGGACAAACAGGACAGAAGAGGACAAACAGGACAGAAGAGGACAAACAGGACAGAAGAGGACAGAAGAGGACAAAGAGGACAGAAGAGGACAAAGAGGACAGAAGAGGACAGAAGAGGACAGAAGAGGACAGAAGAGGACAAAGAGGACAGGACAAAGAGGACAGAAGAGGACAGAAGAGGACAAACAGGACAAAGAGGACAGAAGAGGACAAAGAGGACAGAAGAGGACAAACAGGACAAAGAGGACAGAAGAGGACAAAGAGGACAGAAGAGGACAAACAGGACAAAGAGGACAGAAGAGGACAAAGCCCGTCCTCACCTCTCTCAGAGTGGGTTTGCCTCTGAAGAAATCCGTGTTCTTGCTGCTCTTCGGAGGGTTGAACTTGGGGTTGAGGAAGGCGCAGCCATTGGCGATGGCCTCCAGGGGGGCGGGGCCCTCATAGGGGAAGGACAGACCCACGAAGAGCTACAGAGACGAAAAGACGTCCCTCTGTTTAGTTTGAGAGACCGAACAAACAACCGTGACCCGCCTGACGGAACGAGGGGAGGTCCTGGGAGTGAAAACAAACTACCCAACAGCATCAGCAGAAATGTGGCCGAATCAGCAGATTTTCTGTTGGAAACACAATCAGGACGAGGATTCCTCCCACAGAACATCTTTACTGTCTTCTGCCAGCAGGTGGCAGCGCAGCTCCTCTGATGTTTGAGTCTGCAGCTGGGAGCCTGGATGAGGAGGTGGTCAGAAACCCCTCAGCTTCACCGTGAGTCCACCTCCTGCTCTGAGAGGAACCAGCTCCACGGCTGAACTGCTCCAACCAAACGTCTCCTGAGTTCAACTAACAGCTCATCTACAAGGTTCACTTTCTATTTTCTCCTTGGACTGTATTTGTAAAACTGATATTTTAGTTAAAGGCTGACCAATGAAAACAGAGCTAATTAACCTGTTAAACAGATCAAGAATATAAATGTTTTTAGTTCATCAAGTAAAAACCAGTTTGAGTTCAGAGAACTCAAACTTTTGTTTCAAAGAAACAAAACTTCAACATAAAGTCGCCTCAGGGAAAGCTGCACCTTCAGTTAATCTCGACACCACCTGTCAATCAAGGCTTAGCCACCGACCAATCCAGCGATTGATACTGGGGGACACGCCCCCTCAGCAGCAGGAACCGGATGCTGTCTTCCTGCCACAAAATCGTTGAGATTTTTATCACTGTTTGTGAAACATCTTGAGCAAATAATTATTAAGTGTAGTCAGACAGGAGAGGACAGAATAAACTAACTTCTAAAACCTAAATGAAGAACAGCTGAGTCAGAAACCCTGACCTGGCCTCCTCGCAGTGGACTCAGACAGAAGACTGGAAATGTCAGGAAAACTTGTCAGTCTTTAACAGCTGAAGAAAACCACTGAAGTGTTTTGATTATTTTTATTTCGCTCTCAACTCTTAAACCTCAGGAGGCTAATTATCTGCAGCAGAATGTTTTCAGGTAGCAGGAAGTGTTTTGTTTTGGCTGCAGGAGGATCTGAGCAGAGTGCAGGGAATATTACACAACGCTACCTGCATTTAGCATAGCGTTAGCATGGATATCACTGTCAGGAAAGGGACTGCTCCTCCAGGCTGATCTACTTCTCTGTAACTAAGGCTGTGTCCAAAACGGCAGGACGGGTCCTCCGGAGGACCCAGACTTCCCGGTCGCGGCGGGCCGGGTCCTTGGTAGACCGGGAAGACCGGAAAAAAAGAGGCTGTGGATTTGGACGGTCTAGCCTCCCCTCCTTACCCCGGCGTACGTCTTGTCACCTAGCAACTGTGACGACGCTAAACAAGCAAACTTAAATCAAAACTAGAAAAATATCAATACATTAGCATTATTAATATCACAAAACTATAAAATTAACTTAAAAGTATCATTTGAAGAACTAATTGACCCGCTGTAGGTTCATGTTTATTTCGCGTTTTTTATGACGAAAAAATAATATTTAAAACATGTCCATACAAATGATAAAAGTATTAGAATTACAACCGCTAATTTTTTTAAATTTTTAAATCACCATATTTTTATTTAAAACATATTCTTTTCTCTCGCTTCGTCCGCCATTACTAGCTTAAAAAAATCTCCGGTTGGGCCGCAATGCATTATGGGATATGCTGGGCCGGGAAGGATCCATCGGACCTGTCCTTCGATTYGGGGAAAAAGAAGGACGTATTTGTCGGACGCATBGGAGGAGTCTTCCGTTTTGGACGTCCTTCGTCGYGGCGCTGTGACGTATGCGGCCGACAAATTCGACCTTCGGAGGACCCGTCCTGCCGTTATGGACACAGCCTAAATCCAAGTTCGTCGTGGCGCTGTGACGTATGCGGCCGACAAATTCGACCTTCGGAGGACCCGTCCTGCCGTTATGGACACAGCCTAAATCCTGTTTCATCAGACCAGAGGGGTCCGATCACTGACATCGTCATCATCAAACTGAGATGAAGAGCTAAGATATTCGCAGCGACAGGAAGTGAGGATGAAGAGGAAGGCCTGCATGAACACAGAGTGCAGCTACAACGAGAGAGGAATCTGTCCTTTCTTTACGTTACTCTGAGTCGCAGATCAAATAAAACAAAAACCAGGAAGTTCCGCTTTGTCACCTCTTCCTGTTTCGCGTTCGCTGCGCCAAAGAAAAAACAAACAAACAAAATGCCAGTTGTGTGACAAAATGGGTACAACCATATTAGGAAGTGATAGAACTTAGCAAGATGGCAGCTGCAGCAGCAACATTAAATCTTTGTTTCTTTATCACCTCAAAGGAGGAGTTCAGTTCATCACTAAGAGCTAAAGCTAAGCTGCGGAGGCTTCCAGGGGCCTCATGCATAAAGGATTGCGCAGCTTTCACACTAAAAGTTGACGTAAGGACAAATTTAGAAATGTGCGCCACACCAAAATATTCAGATGTATAGAAGTGTGCACACGCAGGTTCCAGCGCACCTTTCCTGTATACATCCCAATGAACGTGGAACTGAGCGCACCTGAGACTCCTCCCCTGACACGCCTTCATTTAAACATGTAAAATAGATGTAAATGTGCCCAGAGTGTGAGATTCTCCTCAGACTGTCCTCTCTGTGGGATCAGAAATGATTTTTAGATGCAGGAAAATTATACATTAAATGGAGAATGAGTGAGAAAACTGTCTAAATAAGTAGTGGGGTGTAAAAATGTGTTTGCCACTCGCAAAGGTGTGTGTATGGGAGGATTTTCCTGACTTAATCCAAGAGCGTATATTTTCAATTTGAGAGCAGGATAATTTGTTTTTGCTCTCACAACTTTATGTATTTGCTCTCAAAACTTAAAATGCTCGCACTCAAAACCTCTGCTCTCTTTCAAACCTTTCCTTTCTCGCTCAGAATTTATCCTCACGCTCAAACTTTCTGCACAAATCCAAACTGCGCTCTCACGGGTCACTTTTCTGCTTGTGGATTTTTTTCTGTGCGCTCACGGATCAGGGAGTACCGTCTCCTAGCAACCGTTCCAGCCAATAGAATGAAAGCATTAAACTGGGTGGAGACAGCCTGCTCTGGGGTGTGTTTGTTTCCTTTCAGAGGATGTGCCTGTGTGTGTGGATGCACATTGATTGTTGCTTGATCTGCTCTTGACTGGTTATTTTAACACCAAAAACGGAAAAAAAATGTCTGTTTGTTCATATTTCAGTTTCAGGCTCAGATCAAAAACACGAAACACAATATCAGGCACTGGGACATTATTTGATTTTAATATTTAATTTGTCTACTTTCTGTGACCCAGACGTTTGATAAGGAGCATCAGCAAACAACCAATGTTAGCTTGTCCACACACTTGGTGGAAGAAACGTTAGTTTGTCACCTGCTACTGTTAGAAATAAATAGTTCTATATCAATGCCTGTGCCACAATCAAAGGACCATATGAGCCATGAATAGTTAAGCAGGGATAGATTTAATTTTTTAATGAGGAAAGCAAGACTGCAAAGTGTAAACACGTAACAGGCTACATACTAAATATCATATTTATTGTTGAAACCAAACATTCATACAATACCCTGAACAATATGTCTGCACTGGTTTATAACATTATGCACATTAAAAAAATGTTTAAGGCTCTTTCTGGTATTCTCTCCATGTTAGCATGAATGCTACACCTTGTCCTATAATTAAAGATGTCAGCTGTTTACAGCTCTGCTCAAACTTACCTTCAGATCTACAACAAAATATTACTGTTTCCAGGAGCTGAGGATTCATCACAGCTGAATTATGCTGAGTTGACAACGTTTTTTTCTCAGTTAGAATTAAAAATGTTTCTTAGAAAATTCACACATTTTATTCTCCTCAGCTGTGTGTGTGCTCTGCAGGCCATGCGTTCTGCGTGTGTTTCCAACTACAACAATATAAAAACTTTACAGTTTACAGACTGGACTGAAGTTCTTTGATCATTTTTAGACTGATCTATTTTCTTGTCTGAGGTTAAATGATTTTCAGTCCCGGGGTTCAGTTTCATGATCGTTCCAGTTTAAACAATAAAAACTCAAACTAAAACAAAAATCTGACACCGTGTTCAGACGCTCCTTACATCCAGAAAACACAACAAAGTCATATTTCTGTGGATTCAGGTCAGATTCGTGACTTTGTGAGTTAAAACTGTCGGCTGAAAAACTTTGCWAGGCTGCCGCACATTCTCACAGCAGGTGAAAAGTGTGTAAATATACGCACTTTCACGCAACGTTGGTTTTGATACATCCCAATGTGGGCGTAGAACCTGGTGTACGTAACTTTATGTGTACGCACCGTTTAAACATGAGGCCCCAGAAGTCTAAAAGTCTGAATCCTGTCCTTCTGTCCACCTGCCTGATGTCTGAGAGGATGTTGTACAGAAGCTGACAGAACTAAAACCCTTCCTTCCTTATGGTGCGTTCNGAAACTGCCTCTAACAAACAAAACTAACTTGATTGCAGCTGTCCTTCTTCCTTTGCTCCAAAACTGGTAGTAACACAATATTTACTGCTAGTGAATTGTACATGCAACAGTCTGCATACAGTATGAACAAGAGTATAACCGTCATCTCAGAAGTGAGGGGGACACATTTTTCAGAGGTATTTTGAGTGATTTATCATCCTCTCTCATTAAATCACACCTTTACTTTGTGGTTAAAACACATACACTCACCGGCCACTTTATTAGGTACACC